AAGAGGACATCTAGGTGTGTGTTGAAGTCACTGCCATAGGTTATGGGGTCTTCATGGGGCCCTTGATTCTATTGAGCTCTCTCTGAAACCTACAGAACTCCTCTCATACACCTCATCAAAAAAGACAGGCTGCCTAATGGTGCAGCAATAACGCATGGGGCAAATGATGCTGGGGCACATAGAAGATCACGGGTTCAGTTCTCAGGTGGACCTGTACATACTGGGTGTGCATGCATGCCCATGATGCTGGCTGGTGAGCCTTGAGGGAATTGTGGCATGAGATTCTGTAGAGGGTGCTGTGTGCATGCCCTAAATCCTGACAGGATGAAGAAATGGAGGAGAAGAGATTGTGGTGTGGCCATACCTTTTTGGGGTACTTTCTCCCTCTCCCTCTCTGTTTCTCTCTGGTGAGTGCCTGCACAGGCATTCTGGAGAAAAACAAAACAAAACAAAAATACAAGATACATGTTTGTTATGTATCTATATTTAATTATTGTAATGTCTTTCCAACAAAAATGCACTTAAAATTTTTTTCCAGAAGGAACATGCACTTGCTGGAGAGAGACAGAAAGAGAGAGTGAGAAAGCAAGAAAATGTGGCTATTTCTTATGGAGAATGGTCACACTGCAATTCCTTCTCCTCTCTCCCTAGCAACATGTACACACATGACTCAGGCTTGTTTCTCAATCTGCCAGGTCTGGGACTCTAACTGTGCATTCAGCTATGTGGGATCCAAGCACCACACCACTGGCTGGCTCTATTCATAGTCTGTTCAAGTGTTTATACATAAGTAGACTTTCAATATGTATTTGTTTCCTTTCTGCCATACCACCATTTTTCTTTTACAAAAGCATAGATTGAGACTCGTTTGCTTAAGTTGCTTTGCCAAGGTAAAATAACTGGTTGGGAACAGAATTAAAATTAGAACTGAATTTTCCTGACTTCTGGCCCCGTGCTTCTTTTACAAAACCCTATGTCCTTTGTAGAGGGAAGGATGGACTCAACCTGTCCAGAGCCTGCTGACTACAGAAATGGGAAGCTTCATGCTAGGCTGTTGTTTGCAGTTGTTCCCAAAAGAAAGCTTTCACAGCTTGTTGCAGCATTTAATGTTTGGCTGCAAAATAAATCCATTTGTAAACATCTCTGTGTCTATCCCCTTACAGGTGAATGCCTGAGGATATGTGTTTAGAAAGAGCCTCCCTGGGCTCTAAATTAGAAACTATAGCTAGTGTGTCCTGTGGTCTGAATGTTAAAATGGTCATATGCTGAAATCCCCACCCCCAAGATGATGGTTTTAGGTGTTTAGGTCACAATTGTCCTCATGAATGAAATTAGTGTTCTTGTGAAAGAGACTGAGTGAGGTCCCTCATTCCTTCTTCCACGCGAGGACACAGGGAGTCCATGTTTGAACCAGAAAGTAGACTTAATCTTCTGGCTTCTTGATCTTGGACTTCCCAACCTCTGGAACTGTGAAAAGTTTGTTCTCTATAAGCTGCCATGTTTATAGTATTTTTGTTATGGCAGTCTTAACAGAATGATAAAAGACTTTCTGGAGTCTCCAGTTACTCTATTTTCTTCAAAGAGGTTGTTTACTATATGTTATTAAGTTTCTTTTGCCCGGAAACCTCATATGACAAGTCTCTGAGTCAAAAATTTCTCGTTATATTCAAGAGGTAGGTTTTTGCCAAGCCAAGACTAGGCAGTTGTAAAAATCCATGTATTTCCAGAGGTTCTCCTCAGACTCAAATGTAAGATTCTTTTCTAAGTTCTGTGATTTAAAGATTAGACTTCAGTCCTCTCTCTGTCTTGGTAGGCACTTATATATCAGTTATTCTTCTACTTTGCTATTCAGTAGAGATAATGATGTCACAGACAATGTTAGGCTATAACCTAACAAAAAATACTTTAAAAATATTGGGTTGTTGGAAA